ACCTTCAGGCTTTTTCCCTGTGGCTTTATCTCACAAAGCCCTGCTGGGACATACATTGACTGAGCTCCCAGGATACCTTCGCCCACTCACCAAATGTCACTCCCTTCTCCCTCTGTGTCTCCAGCACATGTGACACATCACGTCTTTTGCCACTGTTGGTTTGCATGTCATGCTGCCTTCTCAACCAGAAAGGGGACCTTGAGGCATGGACAAAACTGGCTTTATCTTTGTATCTCCTGTAGCTAGCTCAGTGTATTTTGGCTCAGAGTTAGGCCTCAGTGGTTGTTAATTAAGGGACTGAATCAAACATAGCAAAATACTTATGAGTACCAGGTTGAGGCTCAGAAGAATTAGTACACTTCACAGAACAAATGTAAAATGTGAAAGGAAAAAATAATGCATGGGGAGGGGTAGGTAGATAAGGAATAGGAAGAGAGGATGCCAAAAAAGGGAGAAACTGAATTTCCTCATATGGAAGGAAAGGAAAGTTCCTGCTTTTGCTCTGATGATAGTAAATAAACATAGGAACGAATGTTATTTTTAGCACTAAGAATTCAAAAGATTATTCACCTTTAAAATGTGTTCAAAAGCTAAACAGAAGCAAAGAATATTCCATAAAACAAAAGGCATAATGGAAAAGAGATAACAAAGAAATATAAAAATTGAGAAACAAATGATATATAGAAAACATAAGAAATATAATGGCAACCATAAATTAAAGAGTATAAATTTCCACATAAGGTACAGATTCTTCAAGAAGAGAGGTTGAATAGAGTCAAAATACAACAATACTCTGTTTGCAAGAGATAAACTCTGAAATAACAGTAATGAAGTTAGAAAATGTAACAAAATTGCTACACAAGAAATCTATAGACTATGAAAAAAGGAGGACAAAGACTGCTTTAAGTGTTATAAAAAACAAAAATAAAAACTAAATATGCAATTAATAATCTTGAGAAGCGAAATTAAAAAAAAAAAAAAAAAACTAGAGGAACTTTTTTTTTTCCCCAAACAAAAGAAATTAGATATTTTGAAAGTGAAAACCGAAATACTTTGGAAGGATTCATAAGAAACTGGCAGGAGTTGCTGCCTATGAGAGGAGAATTGTTTGCTTGAGGAACAGGAGTGAACGGGAAACTGACTTTACTACATCTTTTTGTATTTTTTAAAGTTTTATATTTCAACTAAAAGTTTCTGTGAATACATACTGGCCAGCCACACACACACACACACACACACACACACACACACACACACACAAAAGTTTCTGTGAATAGACTAAGACTACTAGTAAATGTAGTTAACAAAAAAAAGGAAACACTTAAAATTGGAAAAATAGGACACAAAACAGAGCAATAAAATTGTAGAGAATATTGTATGTGTTAATAAATTTGGATAGAACTAAATAAATGAATTTTATATTAAAAATGTAAAATTCCAATATTGGCAAAAATAAAATAACTAACTAGAACAACAGCTATACAGAATCAGATAACCACACCCCAAAAAGCAGCTAGTTTGCCTTTGGATGGTTTATTAGTGAGTCCCTTGAAACTCTATGGAAACAATTCACATGCTATAGAAATCATGCCTAAAATAGGTCAAGATATAGGTTATCTAATTTATTCTACTAACTTGATACTTAAACTGGCTAAAGAAACTGAAAAGAAAAAACTATAGACAAAGCTCACTCAGAATTCATGGTCAATAATTCAAAAGAAAATAATAGTAAGTAGAATCTAGGAATAAGTTAAATTTTTTAACTGTGTCATGTCAACAGATACCAAATATTCATTTGCTAAAATCCAACACCTATTCTTTTTATTATTATTATTATTATCAGCATATTCATTATTACAGATTATGATTTTTCTTTTTTTTTTTTCCTTTTTGTCTTTTTTACTGACCGGTAACGGGATCGCAACCCTCGGTGTCACGCCTGTACCGGGGACCGGCAACGGGATCGCAACCCTCGGTGTTGTGCCTGCACCGCGCTCAGCCAGTGAGCGGGAACCGGTCTCCACATGGGATCCGAACCCTTGGCGCTCCCAAGCAGCGCACTCTCCAGTGCGCCACCGGGCCAGCCCATGATTTTCCTTTATGCCCTTTACCTGATCCATCCCTCCCCAAGCCTCCTCATTTCCTCCTCCCTCATCTCTTGTAACCTTAGGTTTGTTCTCTCCTTCTGAAAGTTCAATGAATTGTTGTGGTCTTTTCTTTCTTTCTCCCTTTCTTTCCTTCGTTCTTTCTTAGCACCCAGTTATAAGTGAGAACATGCAGTATTTCTCTTTCCTTGTCCGGCTTAATTCACTTAACACAATTTTCTCCAGACTCATCCATGTTGCTGCAAATGGCAGAATTTCATTCTTTTTTATGGCCGAGTAGTATTCCACTGCCAACATCTATTCTTAATTTTAAAATTCTAAAACTAATAATATAGGTATACTTTCTTACCCTAATTAGAGTACTGCATCTATTTAAAACCAAATGTCAATATTATACTTCAAGGGAAAAAACAAGCTATGCAGTCATTAAAAATAGGCACAGAATGAAGATGCATTTTATCTTCACTGTTAATTAATACAGTATCAGAAGTTCCTTCCAATACAAAGCAATATAAAAAGGAATGAGAGATACAAATATAGTAAAGACAGAGACAAAATATTTTTATGAATAACTCCATCATATACTTATTAAACTCAAAGGAATCATTTACATGGTTATGATGAGTTTAAAGTGACAAGAGTCAGCACCAATATAGAAAAATCAATAGTACTTGCTAGTTCTCAAACTTGAGCGCACATGAAAATCAACTGGGTAGCTTTCAAAAATGTTGATGCCCATGCCTCACCTCAGACAAGTTGCCTCAGAATCTCTGAAGGTAGGGGCTGGCCGGTTAGTTCAGTTAGTTAGACCATGGTGTTATAATAACAAGGTCAAGGGCTTGGATCCCCTTACTCGCCAGCCACCAAAAAAAGAAAAAAGGAAAAAAAAATAAAGCCAGAATAACTGGAGGTGGGACCAGGCATTAATGTTTTATGAAGTTTCTGAGATGATTTTAACATGCACCCAAGTAGAGCTATTCACTACTATATACTTAATTATCTAAATATCTAGAAAATGCAACGCAAAAATTTAACCATTCCTGATAATTGCAAATGGGAAAAGAAAGACTGCTGTAAGAAACAGAAGTCCAAAAGAAGAAATCAAAGAGGGAATATAGTTAGATACCGTGCAAATGTCCCCAGTCTACTACAGTTTGGGCAAAGAGGCAGGCAGTTAACACTTGAGCAAGCAGAAGGGACATGACCCAGGGCCACAACAGAATGATGGCAATGAGAGATGCTTATTTAGTCTGTCCAAGTGCTATTGAGGGAGGAAGCATGCATGAGAACTTAACAGAGGCTGCGGGGGTACAGGATTACCTGCCTACCTGTATGAGGTTATACATGAGATATGTTCCTTGAAATGCAATTGCTGAGTCAAATGGTATATGCCTCTAAAAGTGAGAGATTAATTTTAAAAGATCTTAAAGGTGAAACCAAGAAAGCACAATGTGTAGAATAAACAAAACTTCATACTTCATAGGTAGGAGCGTAGTGGGAGAATGAGCTAAGCTGGAACTAGGCAGGATGGCTCAATGTCGCCAGGTAGTAGGTTCAGAGATGGCTGGTGATTCTAGTTTGGCTTTGCCCTGCCCTTCCCATTAACTTTCCTCTATTGCAACCTCTAGTCACCACAGGCAATGTCCCCTTCCTACTAGTCCCCCAGCCCAACAAACATTGCTAGAGCCTGCCTGTTACCCTCTGTCCTGACCATGGAGCCATGGGGCTAATCTAGGAGGACAAGATTTGAAGCAGAGGGAGCAAGTACAATGGCCTTAAAGCTGGAGCATTTCTGGATTGAATGAAGCATAGCTGGGAGACCAGAATGATGAAGCAGAGTTATTGTGGGGGTTAGCACTAGAAAATGTGTGTTACAAAAAGCTTGTCTTATGACATTTTCAGTTTAGAGGATCGATATAGAAGACCACAAAACAGTTTTACTCAACTTTAAGACTCAAAGTGAGAGAACGATCAAGCTGGAATATATCTTACATCCAAGAGTGGCCCTGCTACAATCCATTCCTGAAGCACAGGGAAGACCACCCATGACAAGGAAGGAAGTTCTAAGAGTTACAATTGTGGAAAATTTCCCATGGGCTGGTGGTCCCCAGGCTTGTGGAGAAGGAGTGATGTTGCCATGGAATTGTCTAAGGATGTTGGGGTACAGAACTTCCACCATATATCATTGATGACTCTGACTCCAGTTCCTTCTCCCTTCCCAAAAATCTCTATTAAGCATATCGAAGAAAGGTTCTTAACTTTATAATGGAAAATAATATAAAAGATCTGCTTTATTTAAAAAGCTTACTAAATCATATCTATTTCATCAAGTGAAGGCTATGTCTGTTTATGTTGACTATTCACTAGTCTGCTCTGTCTTCTATATTAAATTTAGCAATAGAAAAGGTTGCCTATTCCAGGATTCCATAGACGTGTACAGTGCCACACATATTGTAGCCTAAGAATATGGCTTGGATGAATGGTATTCTAACTAGTTTTCTAGTTTTTCAAGTCAGTCATTTAATAAAGCACAAGTGTAAGTTTTGCAGTCAGACTAAAAGCTGACACTCGGACTAAATCTGCACATCACAGAAATACAACACACGACTCTACTTTTATGATACCCAATGGTCAACCTAAGTTATAACAGATTCCCATCAAGTGATCTAAGAAATGAAATAAGTTATAGATTCAATACAGATTTTTAGATTAATCCAAATAAGAATCATTTGGTCAAAGAGTTCAGCAATAAAAACCAAGGGAGGAGAAAATAAATAATGTTTAACAGCAATACGAAGACTAAATATGGCTATACAGACTCAGGAATTACAAAGTTAATTGATGTAGAAAGAAATGTTAAAATTCAGAAGCACACTATTAATCTGGGAAACATACCTTTTCCTTACTTCATTACTTTCTCCAGTTTCACTCTTCACTTTATCCAGCCCCAAGTGCATCTTTAATGGACCACTTGTTGCTTCTGCAGTTACAATTCACTCCTATAGAAGAAGCAGTATACCATCACTTCATGAGAAGATAAAGCATTCTCAGGAGCTGAGTTATCCAATCTCATCATTCTCCTTTCCTACTTCATTTTCATCAGAACAGGAAAACCAGAGGGGCACGAGAGTAAAAAGAGGTCATTGAAATAAAAACTAGCAATTTATAACTATTAAAAATGCTAGTAGAAACTGGAATACATAAGTGGAAGTAAAGCAAACTCAACTGTCTCTGACAACAGATCAGAATAAGATAATCCATCAAAATCTGTAATTTTAACAATCTTTCTACCGATGAGTTTCCATTCCTCTCTCCCAGCTAAGCTTGAGACAGCTTGGCAGAAATAATGATATTAACTGATGCATGGCCTTACAACTTCAAGGATGCACACTCTTAAAGATGCACTGTTTTCTGGTGCTCTTCCATTCCAAGCCCTGAGGTTTTCCTGGGATGGATTCTAGAGGTACAGGAATGGTTGAGACTGTGTGTGCCAGACCAAGGAACTAGGTTCTCTTCATTTTTGTCTCTGTTACCCCTATTTCATTCCATTCTGCCCAGTGCCAATGGTGGGCACACAACAACTCTTGGTGAATGAAGGAGACAGTAACTATGTTTTCAACAAACCACCAAAGTGCTTCATGGGATCTTAAAATTACTTGGGAAACCGTTGATAAACAACTGCTCCTGAGTTCTCTCTTTCTTTCCCAAAGCATTCTCTTTGGTTGAAATGCCCATTAGCAGTAATATGGCCCCAAAGTGAGTATAGCAGAAGGTCTCAGAACTTCAAATAGAAGTCCAGGCATATGGATACACTAGAGAGGGTGAGGACTATGAGCATCTGTGAATGTAAACAGGTTTGTTCCTCAAAAAAGCATCCCTTACCAAAGTAGCTCCTAATAATCACCAGGATTCTTATGTCTCTAATATAGACATATCTATCTTTTACACTGTGTCAGGCATTGTTCTAACAGCTTTAACTATATTAATTAATTCAATCCTTATAACAACCCTACAAGGTTGATTCTATTATTCTAATCACCCATATGAGGAAACTAGTTAAGAAAATCACCAAAGGTAAACCACTACATGCTATGCTGCTTTTCATAGGCAGGGGTCCCTGGGCAAATATAATTTTGCAATAAGCCATTGTCTCATCCACCTGTTCACTTTCTTCTATTGATGTCCTAGAATGTCTAGTGAAAGTAGTTCAATGTCTAGTTAAATTAGTTCTTGTTAAAAATTTTTTCTAATTGTTTACTGAAAAACTTCTAATGGTTTTTTAAAAAATTATCCTATGAACTTCACAAAAAGGAAATCCTCCTAATTTTGTGGAAGTCAGAAGCAATAATTATTTCAAGCTGAACACTTTTATTCACCCACTATTTCCACATATTACATGTATTCCAGATATTTTCCTAAGCTTACCAGATCCCTTCTAACTTTAAAATTGCAAAACCCTTGCTCAAGCAAGGCATTAGTTCAGTTCATTGGGACATAATGCCAAAAACTGTGGGTTCAGTCCACTACAAATCAGTTAGCTTGCTTCGCATCTATAGATCTTTAACCTGGATGGCATATTTTGGGTCATAAGAGGAACCAGGTGGAAGGGTGTGAGACAACTAGCATAAATACATCTGTAGGAGAAACAAGTCCCATAAAACACAACACTGACTATGGGCCAGAAGCATCAGCCTTATTCATAAAGAAAAGCTTCATGATCATTGGCAAAGCCCTTCTATCTTTCTGAAGTAAGAAGCTCTTCTCAACCTCAGGTCTTTTGCCAGAACATAACCGGAAGTTCCTCCTTCAAAAAACAAAACAGGTATAAGATAAAAATAAGAAATTAATGTTTTCAGTTTTTGCACAAGCTCTGCTTGATCTGAAAATAGAATTTTCTTATTCCTGACACAAATTCCACTGACAGTAAAAAGGATTTGCAATGGTTTTAGAAAGAATCAAAAGTCTCTAGCAATACACAAAACCATCAGAAAATTCTGACTGCAATTCCAGTGTTTCTTACTTAGATTGTTTAAAAATTACCTTAAACCTTCATAAAACCAAAAATTACTTTATCTCCAATATAAAGTTATTTTAAACATGGTTTTTCAAATTAATGAAGAAACCAACCAATATCAGACCAGATTACATTTTAAAACAACCCAGGGTCCACTCAAGGTACAAGTTTTACTAGCTTCGACAAACAAAAATGAAAAAGCAGAACTGTATTCCTTAATCATAATTTTATGAAGAAACTCACTAGGGGTCATCCATCTTTGAGTTTTCCTGCCCGCAGGAGGAAAGAACTTCCCAATGTACTAATGCTACAAAGTACATGGGTCCAACAGTCACAAGGTAACTAAGACAGCAAAGCCACAGTTATTTGTGAGATCACAAAAACTATATGATGTAATTTTTTAGATTGAGGTAAAATTCACATAATGTAATATGAACCATTTTAAAACTACAATTCAGTGGCATTTAGTACATTCACAATGCTATGCAACCATTACCTCTACCTAGTTGTAAAATATCTTCATTACCCCAAATGAAACCCTATAAGCATTAAAGCAGCCACTCCCGTTCCCGCTCCTCCAGCTCCTGACAACCACTAACATGTTTTATGTCTCTATGGATTTACCTCTTCTGGATATTTCACATAAATGAAATCAAACAATATGTGACCTTTTGTGTCTGCCTTCTTTCACTTAGCATAATGTCTCAAAGTTCCTCTACTGCAGCATGTATCAGTCAGTATTTCATTCCTGCTTATGGATGAAAAATAGTTCTCTGTTCATCCATTCATCCATTTATGGGCATTTGTGTTGTTTCCACCTTTTGGCTATTGTGAATAATGCTACTATGAAAACTCATATACAAGTATTTGTTTGAATACCTGTTTTCAATTATTTGGGGTATATACCTAGGGTGGAGCTGTTGGTTGATATGGTAATTTTATATTCAATTTTTTGAGGAACTACCAAACTGTTTTCCACAATGGCTTCACCATTTTATATTACCATCAGCAAAGGTCAATGTTCCAATTTCTCCACATCCTCACCAACATTTGTAATTTTCTGTTTTTTTATTTTGTTTTGTTTTAAAATAATACCCAGCCTAGTGAGTGAGATTTTGATTTGCATTTTTAAATGACCAATGACACTGAATATCTTTTCATGTGTTTATTGACCATTTGTATATCTTCTTTAGAATACAAATTTAGAGAAATGTATTTTCAAGATCCATGCCCATATCTTAATTGGGTTGTTTGCATTTTTTGGAGTTGTTAGAGTTTTATGTATATATTATGGATTCTAGACCCTTATCAGACTTGCTATTATTTTCTCCCATTCTTTTCTCACCATTCACTTACTTGATGGTGTCCTTTGATGCACAAAAATTTTTAATTTTGATGTAATTCAAATGATTTTTTTTTCTTTTATTGCTTGTGCTTTTGGTGTCATTTCTAAGAATCCATTACCAATTCCAAGGTCATAAAGACCCTTACCTTTTCTTCAAGAGTTTTATAGTTTTTCAAAAGGTCATTGACCCTTTTTGAGTTAATTTTAATATGTGTGTGAGGCTGGGGTCCAATTTCATTCGTTCGCATGTGGATATCCAGTTGCCCCTGCACCATTAGTTGAAGAGACTGTCCTTTCCCCATTGAATGGTCTTGGCACCCTTCTCAAAAATCAATTGATCATAGATGCAGGTGCTTATTTCTGGACTCTCAATTTTATTCCACTGATCTACATGTATATTCTTATGCCAGTATTACACGTTTTGATTATTGTAGCTTTGTAGTAACTTTTGAAATTGGGACGCATGAGTACTCCAAATTTGTTTGGCTTTAAGATTGTTTTGATTATTTAGGGTCCTTTGCAATTCCATGTGAATTTTAGGACCAGCTTTTCCATTTTTGAAAAAAAGGTCACTGGGATTTTGGTAGAGATTGCATTGAATCTTTAGATCACTTTGGGCAGTACTGCCTCCTATACAATAGCAAGTATTTAAATCCATGAGCATGGAATATCTTTCTGTTCTATGATGTAATTTTTTTTTTCCTTTTTGTCTTTTTTCGTGACTGGCAACGGATCGCAACCCTCAGTGTCGCGCCCGTACCGGACCGGGACCAGCAACGGGATGCAACCCTCGGTGTTGCGCCCGCACCTCCCTCAGCCAGTGAGCGGCCGGTCTGTATGTGGGATCCGAACCCTCGGCGGGAGCGCCGCCACGCCCCCAAGCGGCAACGGGATCGCAACCCTCGGTGTTGCGCCCGCACCTCCCTCAGCCAGTGAGCGGCCGGTCTGTATGTGGGATCCGAACCCTCGGCGGGAGCGCCGCCATGCCCCCAAGCGGCGCACTGTAGCAGTGCGCCACCGGGCCGGCCCCTCTATGATGTAATTTTAATGTTATCTTAAAATGCCCTTGATAAGGTCATACACTAACTTCCTTCAGTTGTCTGTATCTATATGTAATTTATGAACACCCTGGAGTAATTCACAAATATAAAGTTTACACTTGCCATGGAGAATCCAATATTCATACTCCAGAGAATGATTATCAATTATTCAGGGTCTTACTGTTTGTTTTTGGTTATGGAAAAGGTTAGAACTCAAGGATTTTCGCTTCTCTGATTTATAATTGTTATCATCTTCAGCTCCTAGTAACGGAATTGATACACATGAGCCTGATAAGAGTAAGTTGTTTAAAAGACTTCACGGAATGCTTTCAGGAACTGTCTTTTATGTAGTTCAAATCTCCCCAAATTTATTATGAAATATTAGCTACTTTGCCAAAGATTTTGCTCAAAGAAGGTTGGGTAGTCAGAGCTTAAAGTGTCAACTATATTTGGGCAGGGTGAGAGGTGGGGAGGAAAACTTTTTTAAAAGTCTGTTTTGTAAAAATTTTTGGCTGAAGTCTATGAGAGAACAATCACTTGAAGTTATAAATGTAACTTGGGCTGCACAAAATCTGTTCCTTGCTCTCACATCAAAATTAGAA